CGCATGAACGTACAACATCTGCATATATATATTTATATATATGACTACTATACGCGTGGTACACGTCTGGCTAAAATAAATCCCTTATGGGACACACGCACACCCACGGCATACCTACACAAGCATCCAGACAGAGATCACGGAGTGTATAGAATGAAAAAAGTATGTAAAGAACGCAAAGAAGTGTATATAATATAAAATTATTATGAGTAGTGCTGAATGTTTCAGGGTTTTCAGTATCCAAACATTGAGAATCGTCTCATATACAGTGAATAATAACTTATAAATATATCTTGAGAAAATAATAATATACGATCTAATTCACGTTTGCCAACAGCGAAGTGTAGGTCACGTGTTTTAATATTATTAAACCAGAAAATAGATCGATGGATATCAAATAAACAAAATTTTGCTATTTAATATTGTTGTGCTTAATCTACGCCAAATTTAGTTGTGTCATGATAATATTTTTAAAACATTTTTTTTTTTATCAACATATTGTTCTATTATAAAAAATAAGACTTTATGCAATCAATACATATCAATTTTCCATTAACAATTTTTTTTACATTGCAATGTTTTATTTGATTTCATACAAAACAACTGAAAAATGAATTAAAAACGGTAAAACCGTCTATTTTGAGTTTTGTTATTTCTTTGCAACTCAATAATTAAAGATTCTTATAAACATCTTAACATGTATAAAAAATACTTGATTTATTTTTAATATGACACGAAACTCTAGAATTTGTTGATTTCGCCTACCGTCACGTGGACTTTATGTTAGCGATGTGCGCTATTCACGGGCCGTGGAGGTGCACCAGCACCGCCCTAAGACGTTTCCTGTTCCCACGTACTGTAAAATCGGGTGGAAAGCTTCCACGATCATCGGTTACAGTTTAACTGGATTAAATAACGAAACCACTATGGTTTACCGGTTGAAAATGTTAAATGTCGGCCCAGGACTTTCGGATTAGCGGAGCTTGCAACGATACGTGCCACCAGACGGTCGAACACTCACTACTAGGTCATGGAGCCCTGCTCAGTGGTGACAAACACTGCAAGGGTGCACGACTGCTTGTCGGGGGATGACCCCAACGCCCGAGCCCCAGAGAATTCTTAGACATGCTCCATCCATGACCGCAGCTGAGCCTGGAAGACCTCCCTTCTCTTCTCACTACGGGCCATTTAAAAGTAGCTGTATACTAGCGTCTATTCAATATTCAACCCAAATCTTACACCTAAGACTCCTCTGATCCGCAACCCAAGGACGTGATCCATACCGTCCGGTGACGTTTGCGAAACCACAGTGGACCGGCTATGATTTCGCTATATTTCTAATATGACAGTGCTCGAATTTTCAATTTCAGGAGATTAATAAAAACTTTAGATATTAGGGTTTGTTTTGAATTTTTAAATGTTAACATTTAATAAAAGTATAAGTCACTCTAACTTTATTCAAATAGCATCAACAATGTGTATGATAAAAACTCAAAACTCGTATTTATTTGCATCATTTATTTAGTTTAATATTTGAAAATAACTAAAAAAAAATATTTTAAATAGAATTAATCTAGATGAAAGTAGGGTTATCGTTATCTTATCTACATACAAGTATAGTTTATTAATCATCATCTTTATCTTGGTAAATTTATACCCAATATTATCTGTACCTGTATATTATGCAGGGGTTAAATGACAGCCCTATAAGATAGTAAAAATATAAAATGTTCGACATATTGCGTTTAGTAATGACTGAAAAAAATTTCAAAAATACGGATAATATTTATAAAACAAGACTTGCTCACCTTTAAAAGAATCCCCTTGTGCATATTTAAGTTGTTGTCATAGTTTAAAAAAAAAGTTATCCAGTATAAAGTATAAAATATAATAGTAGTATAATTATTATACTCCACACTTCTCTGGGTCACTGGAATAATACCATAACGGCGCATAACATCGGTCGCGTCCTCGTGGATACTTTAATTTATTCAGTCACGATATAATATATTCGATGTGCATTTAAATGTTAATATTGATATTAAATACCGATAAAACTGTTATATACACATACACATTATTAACTATTTGAATGTGTTTATGCACGACCCGTACATTATTATTATCAAATACCAATTATCATCATAATAAAGGGCGCTTCTCGCTGCACCGTGTTGGTCACCGTCACCAAATTATATTTCAATATTTGTCAAACTAATTTTCGCATATTACATTAAACTATTGAAATACAATTTATTGTATTAAAATATACCCATATTTTTTTTTTAAACATTAATTTAAAATGCTTATGCTTAAATTTAAAAAACAAAATGTGTGTTATGTATGCAATGTGTTTTTTTCATTTTGTTTTTTATAATCATGTAAATATAAAATCTAATCGAAATAATTTATCTGTAATTATTTGATAACAAGGAATATCCAGTTCAACGAGTTTTTTTTCTAGTCTGTTAAAATGTTTTTACATTTTTCGAGTTATTATTATCATGTACATCGTTTATCTATAATCACATAGTACAAAAAATCAACACTGTTTTTTATTATAGACTACTGAGCGACAAGTTACGAGAATAAAGAATATTTATTTCATTAAAATACAATTATATTTTATTACTATGGACGAATTCATTTAAAATGCTATACCTATTATAATAAATAGTTTTTTGGGTGTTGACATTATTATTGCAACAATTGCAGCCAAAAACCACACATTTGTTTGCATGAATCAATTTGGGCGTTGCAAATATTGAAAATTAAAATTATTGCCATAAGAAGTTAGAGTACAGATCTGAGGGTCTGTATCGTCATGCGTAGGTCAACGATATGTTCCTAACCCCCTGTTTATTTTTTTTGAATTTTCAATTCGACTTTAGAATATAATCTAAAATACTTAAATTTGTATGTAGTTTGAGGATTGTCCTGTGGTGTTATGAACTTCTCTATTGAGACCTAAAATGTTTACATCAAAATAATTTTCAGATACCGTTAATGGTATAAATCGATATTCAATAAAGTAGTTTCTGAGTTATTAAAGTATATAAGGTATATAATGTACTAAGGATAAAAGTTAACAATGTAAGGTTTTTTTAATACGTGATCCTAACATTATGTAAGACACATATATATTATAATGAGTATCTATGAGTACAATGGATAACATTTATTCTATAGGCACAGTATTATATAGACTATAGGAAGTCACAACACCATGTTCTTTTTAGCGAGCATCGTTAATTTTCAGGGAATTTTGGCATGTACACATATTTTAGTGGGATACAGTTTAAAAAGAAAATGTTATCCCCCAACTTTAAGTTGTGTAGTAATAAGTAATAACTAATAATGAAACATAATAACTGCGAAACATTAAAAATAATGTCCATGGCACAATAATAATAATATTTATTATTATTACCTATTATTTATTATACAAGAATAGATTTAATTCAGATGATAAATATTAAATTATTATGTTTTGACTAGGCTTCTTTAGTTATGTATTTATTCTTTGTTCTTACGCCATTCTCATCCGTGCTACCAATCCGGAAACATGAACAAAACCGAAATTAAATAGTACTTTATGCAGTTTATTATGCGGACAGTTTAATTTCAGTCTGAAAGGTATAGAATGAAAATAATATGAATTAAAAATGAGAAAGCTCAGTTTATCTATACAATAAACAAAACAAAAACCTACTATATCAATTATTTTAACCGAATCCTGTCGTAATGGATCCATTATTATCAAGTGAAGAATACATTTTATACCATTTATAAATTATCGATATTAAACCGCAAATAGTAAATTATTCTAATGATAAAATATGATTATAATAACAACAATAACTAACAATATTTGTTTGGTTTTTTTCTTGATAACTTTTCGATTGTACAAAAGCATTCTCCAAGTCTGACGAATTTCAATATTTTAAAACTAAAATAACAAAGTGAATCTAAAGTTTGAGTTTAATCCTATTTTTTATTATTAATTCAGTTTAGGTAAAATTTAAAACTTGATATTAGTTTTCACCTTAAAACATTATAATAAATTTCAATATAGAACAAAAGGAGTATTCAGTGGTTATCATTAATTTATTTTCATTAGGGAAATATTATACTTATTCAGTTTGATATTCATCAAGGAAAATTAACGTCATTTCGACTAGAAAGCTAGCAAAAAAAAATATATATAAATAACCTTATAAAGTTACATGAGATGACTGGAAAAATAAACAAACTTGTTACATTAAAAAGTTATTACATAAACTTTTTGAACTCGTTAATGGCTTCCCTCTCATAGGAAAGCACGTAATAAACTGCATGTCTGTGGTGTCCGTCGATCCAAGATCTACGAACGACCCTCAAAGACTCAGTAAATGTTTGAAGAAAACATAATTACATACAACTTGTTGAAGGTTATTGTTTTGCTTGGTCATATTAAAATATCTAAGATTATTTACCTCTGTACATTTTTGCGGACTACAGAAAACGCTTTTTACGAAAAAGATTATTACGCTACCCTTTTTACGATTTGATAATCTACTTCGTCATATTTTCTTTCCAACTGCTGGTAAATAATAAAAGTATATAAGAACTACTTCAATCCATTAAAGTCTCTGATTCCACTAGACTATGTATTAATGGTCATTCAAGCACACCATGAAATAAATTCGTTGAAATAAATTGACTTATACTTTAGCCTAATAAGTACTAATCTTTACAAATATACATTTTGTAGATATAAATACTCCAAATAACATGTGGCCATTCAAAAGTGTAAAAACTTAAAAAAAACAATGATACCTAAATACGAAAAATTGTTAAAAATATATTTTTTCGCATAAATGTTTTCTTGTTACGACTTAAAGCCATGCGTAAGAAATATTTTCAAAAACGTAAGTGTTGAACTAGTGCAAGTCGTCACTATGTACATACATAATATCATATACCAGAATGTTACCGCCCATGGACGGTGTACCACATACCTAAAACGAGTGTTAGTATACCGACAGGCATGACGAGGACGGCGACCATGAGATCAGTGACGGCCAGCGACATGAGGAAGTAATTGGTGACGTTCTGTAGCCGGCGCTCCCACGTGATGGCCAGGCACACGAGTATGTTTCCAGCGGCCGTGGCCAGCACCAGGAACACGGCCAGCAAAGCCCACCACCAGTAACCGCCGCCGACCACTACGACACCACCACCGCCGCCGCCGGTGACGTTGGGTTGGCCGACGAGGAGCGGCGGCGTCGGCGGCGTGGCCGTCTGCAGCAGCGGTGACGTGGGCCCGGCCGCGGTGTCGTTGCCGATCACCACCACGACGCCGTCGATGATGACACCACCGCGGCCGTTATTGCCGGTGTACACCGTGAGAGCGCGCCGCGACCACCACGGTGACGGCCTCCGCAGTCACCGCCACCGGCGGGCCGGCGGTCACGTCCGCCGTCGCATGGTGTCCGGCGCCGCGGCCGGTCTGTCGTCCGCGATCCGACTACGCGTCAACAGGACGATGGCCGGTCGGCTCGTGTCCCACGCGGTGCATGTGTTCTTCTCCTGTTCAAAACAACGAACAACGACAATTTTAATATTATAGTTCAAAGAAAAACCATAAAAGAATTATTGCACGACGCACGCAACATTATTATAATGCAAGTGATGATGGGTTCTCGAATTTATTCAGCTCTTAAACACCTCGAACTTCGATGGAAAATCGAACAGTTCAAAAGTTCGTCGGAAATTAATAGGTACTCTAAATGGAATATTTTAAACTTAAACTTTTCGAACAGTTAAAAAAAAATGTAGTTGGATGCTATAAATTATAATACCCAAATATAATTTATAAAATATCCAATATTAATATCAGTAGGATGAAAGTGCAATTTATTTCACGTATTTCCTGAATGTCCCTTATCAGTTCATATTATGGTTTAAAATTTTAATCAATTAAATTTGAGTTCCTGAAATTTGAAGTTTGACTTATTCTTAATATACACCAGCTACCTTATAATAGTATTCATAATAAAATATGTAGATTATATAATTGTCAATTTATAGTAGTCTCATTCAAAATATAAAAAATAAATTGGAGTTAACTAAAATAAATAACAAAACAAAATTGAAGGTATCCTTAAAACATTTAAATGTTTTTATTTATTCATCCATTTATTATCTTTTCCTTTTTAGCTGTTTTTATTGACTTCAATCTCTATGTTTTATATACGTTTGACATTGGATTTTATTTTCAGTTAATAAAAAAATGATTATTGGGCGGGTGAAATACAATTCTGAGTTTAACTTTCAGTCAAATAAATCCTAAAAATTTGAAGTCGTTCTGAAGTAGATTTTAATTATTCTGAACATATTATATTTCTCTTGAAACACTTCGATAAATCGTTTACAAGTTATTGGAAAATATCAGTAAACCAAAAATTACGTAAGTTCCATAGCTATATAAGTAGGCAACTGTGACTATTTAATAACATAGATACGGGTACCTATGTATTTCGTTTACATATTTTCAGAAATATAAATTTGTAAATTATAATATTATGTTTTTTATAAACTATAATACATACGGATATCCGATAACGATGCAATTATGTTGTTTTAAACAACCTGTTCTAAAGTTTATGATTAGTACCTACAAATTTTAATTACCTAACTTTTTTTAAATATAAAATAGATACCTACTGAATTTTTTTTAATAATTGAGAAATAACTGAAGTTTAAACACCGTAAAGATGTCTACATGTCATAACTTATATTGTAACAATGTAATATTTAAAAAGTGGAATGACTGATATTGTTTCAATAATAATAGATGTATAGTTATGTAAGGCATATGGTTCTTCATTTGAAAAATTTGAATTGAGAAATATCAAAAATATTGAAGTTTAATTATTGGTAAATCAATAATTTAACTTCTACATTGTTTTCTAACGGCTATCTTTATTATGCAGAGTAAAAAGTGTATTAAATAAGTTCCTTCGTTGTAACGATATATTATATAAATCATATAATATACAGCTAGATATTAAAACAATTTTAATCGAAGGTTTATTTCATTTTTCACGTGAATTATTATATATAACAAAATATTATAATATTTATTTTGACATTTTAATATATGTGTATGTATATAATGGGTATAATAATATAATATGGAAGGAGGGAAAATATAGCAATTGAAGTCTTAGGCAACAATATAGACGACAATATTATAATGTGTGTATTATACGTAGGTCACAACGAGACACAGCTTAAACATGATAATATGCTCGTGTGTGTGTTTTTGATCTACACAAAAAAACAATAAATGGCCTTCCTATACCATTAATAACATTTTTTCATTTTTTTTTTAAATCGCGTTTTTACTTTTTAAGTTGTACTTCACAGTTCGTGCGCTGACATAGTATGTACCATATTAACAATAATTATGACACAAAACGTCAAACCATTTAATATTGTTCTGTTGTAATACGACGAGGAATACATTTAAATTTAAAAAAAGCGTAGGTGACTCCTATAACTACACTATAACCTACACTGGATCGTCATCAGTCGATTGATAAATACTTTCTTATGATATTTATCGATTTTTTGTCGATCCACCGAATTGATGTCGAACCTGCAGTATTATAATACCGGCATAATGTGCGTTTGTGGCGTGTGCGAGTTCATTGTTTTTCCAGGGAGACATAATTAGTAGGTATATACCTACAGAGCTAAAAGTATCGCGAGGCTTTGGATTTGTTCCAATAAGCGAGGTTTTTTTTACTCTTTAATATTTATTGTTTTAACAGCACACGTGCGCTAATAATATTATAGGTACTGTTATTGTGTACACCAGTATCGCTGTTATAGTCGATGACGTTCTGCACACATGCCTGACATGCCATTATATACATATTATTAGAATTAATGAAGGTATTATATAACGTTATTATGATATAGTAAAAGTTTAATAGCCTCAGAGCCCTTGGTTGTTGATCAGGAAAATTAATATTTTTCAAAACCATTTTTTGTAAACTGAGGTGACCAAATACATATTTTAGCAAAATTTCCAACCAAAAATAAATATAAGTACACAAGTTGTTTTTTTCCTTGTCACATGACACGAAGCTGAATAGTTCTGATGATAAGCTATTTAACTCGTCCGAGAGTCTAACAGTGCATAATATATTATACAACGATAAAATGTATGCAAATTTATTTTGAAATTATATCTTGATTAGAAATTGATCATGCTAAAGTACGATTTAACAAACACTAAACCTCGAATTAATAGTGGGTCGCTCGAACGAGTATAATAATAATATCAAAGTCGTATTAAGGTACTTAATCTGAGAGCAATTTATGATAATAACTTCAAGTCCGAAAAACGATTTTGATTTCCCAATGATACTTATTAAATTGATGGGTATTAAATTATTATAAGCATTCACGAAGTTATCGTCGATCTGAACGATTTTAATTGTATTTTACTAAATCAACCATTTAATGCAGGTACCAATGTATGGTTTTTTAAATCAAAATTCATATTAAAATAAAATTCTTGGCTGCAAATTGTAGCTGTTTAAAAAATGTCATCCGAAATGATGCTAGCTAAAAAAAATGTATGTATAGGTCGTTAGGTTACACCCAAACGCGTGATTTCAGAGAAAAAAACGTTTTAAAAAAATGAATAAATATTTGTATTCCCTGATCCACGTGGAGTACAATTATTTATTGACGAGAGTAACTTTCCAATCCAGCTGGGACGTAGTGAGCCGAAATGATTTGCGTATTTGCTCGAAATCCCGTGCAACGACTGACTGTAAATAATAAATACACTGCAGAATGTCTCGCCAAGTTTATCTCCGTCAATAACTCATTTTATCCTAATCAATACTTTTTTTTAAATTATTACTCTACATGTAGTTATATCGATGAAGGGGCCATTTTTGAGATGATTTAAGACACATTTTTTATTTGAGTAGACATAAACTAAAATTAAATAATATATTTTTAAATAATTATTTACCTAGATTTTGTTTAGGTACCTACTACTAATTCGTGCACACTTCTGCGCAAGTTATTAGACATAATAATAACAACTAATAGGATTCTCTGGTATATAGATCAATACAATTGATGTGCGGCTAGGGTGTAATGACTATAAAATAAAGTAGGTATCTAGGAGTTCCAAACGGCGATGATGCAATTTTTTTATTATCATTGATCAAAGTCACTGACAATCAACTATATGATACAGTCATATTAGGGTACAACTAGCTGAACGACCTAGTCAATCAGAAAATAAACTACTATCGTAAACAGTAAGTAGTAGACTACGATCGAATTGGAAAAGTAAAAGAAGGAGCTCTATCAGATATAAAAAAAATAGTGTATCTATGTTGTAATGATTGAACTCAACTTAACGTAACTCCATAACCCACTATGAGATGTCACAAACTTTTCATTATAATCTAATACTCCGAAAATTAATGCACAATAAATAAAATACAGTGGTGAAGTTATTTCCACATTTGAGACGGTTCGTATATCTTATGATTGAGAACATAGTTGATAGTATTTAGACCAGTATACAATTCTTATCTATCTCAGTGATATTAAGTCATCATATTTCTAATTTATGAAATAAACGATTTATTTTATTCATCCTATAATAACTGATAAATTATAGTATATTAAAACACAATAATTAATAATCATTATATTATTATATTACGTATATAAATGTTGAACACATGGTTCACATATAATTTGTAATAATAGTGTACCTTCTTCTTCTCGTTCGTGAAAATATAATAAAGGTAAGGTAAAAATAAAAACTAAAATTGTAGGGAACTTCTGTCCTGCGTCAACCCACCCCCACAATTCGAGCAAAGTATGTTCAGTGCTGTGACGTTAGTGATGCATAATAATATGTCTGTGGAAACGTTACCAATTACCATAATATGTCATTCCATATTATTTGAATTTCAACAGCGAGCACACGATAAACACGTCTTTTCATCTATTACTCACTTATAGGTGTCAAGTGGTATTCGAACAGTCGTTGAAAAGTTAATACTATCAATGAACTATCGTGGTCTTCGTTTTGTTTGTACTTTAGTAGACGTTAATGAAGTTATGGGGGGACGTCATGGTTGACATCGTGAATATAATAACGGCTTTTAACAAATGTTTTGTACTTTTTTAGTTTTTCCCGGTTATTTTAAAAAGAACTATTCTAAAAAAAAAATTATAATTTTGACCCACCAAAGTACAAACTAGATCCAATTATCTGCCGAAAACCTAACTCATAGTCGATAGTCGGGGCTTTTTTTTTTACTCAAAAAATGTTCTTAAGCATAGACTTACACTAAGTTTAT